TCTGTCTCTTTCATTCATCCCCTTCTTTGCATCACCACAGGGGTGTTTCTGCTGGTTGCTGTGGTAACACATAGATATTATGGTTGATTGGGTGTGTGAGGTGTTGCTGGGTTAAGAAAACGAGAAGAACAGATTATTCAGGTGAGAAGTCTATGACCTTATCCAGGTGAGGCCAAACTGCAAGAAAGCTGTTTTACTTCAGCAACCAATGTAGATAAATGTACAGGGTTTCACATTATGCATCAGTCTTGTGTGTTTCATGATCTTCCTCCTAAATACTTGTCACATTTTCAACAAGTCCAACTTACAGCAGCATACTTCTTCTGTCCTACCATATCACTCAAAGGAGTAACAAAAAGCAATTATTTATTATTTATTATTTCGATTAACTAAATGTTCATAATGTTATTTATCTGTAAAGATCTGGGTTACAATTGGTCTTCAGTAACCCATGCTTGTCTCAAAAGGCGACTAACGGGATCAGGTGGTCAGGCTTGCTGACTTGGTTGACACGTCATTGTATCCCATTTGTGTAGATCGATGCTCATGCTGATGATCACTGGTTTGTTTGGTCCAGACTCGATTATTTACAGACCGCCGCCATATACCTGGAATATTGCTGAGTGTGGCATAAAACTAAACCCACTCATAACGTTATGTTTGTTACCAATATTTCAAATTCTTGACTACAACTGACCTTTGATAGCTATTAGCATTGTGCTCATGTCGACATGACTCTCAAAATATATTTTGAGAGTCAAGATGACAGTAGTTTAACTAAGCTAACCCTTTAGCCCTGTGTATATGTGTAGATGCATGTCTCCATTTGTTTATTCCAGTGTTATACCACAACACTATCTATAATTTTATCATGGTGTTCTATTCAAATGGTCATACATGTATATGTTTGCTCCAAGGTTAAATAGAAAAAAACGTGTTCCTCAAGCACATTTTCTCAATTGCTACGAGAATATATCTGGCTTCCGATATTTTTCATAGAAACTGAAAACTATAAGGGAACAGCACAGTTTATGAACATTCCACCAAGAATATAAGCTAACAAAACTGCACATGCATAAGACTTGGTTCTTTAATGATAATATCTCAGTCGTTAATCATGGACATCAGGGTGCTTCTTCATATAATATTGCCAAGACTGACATACAAGATTTAAAGTGATGTTCCCCAAACACATTTCCTTTCCATTTTACCCTGTTCTAGAACTACAGGGGCAAATCCACCATTCTGGAATAGAGGGTGTTTGCTAAAGTCATAAAGTGAACAAAAATACATTAAGGACTGACACAAGGTGCCTGAGAATACAGGGTTGTGTGCACCCTCTTGGATCTGGCAGTTTGGCAGGGCTGTTCATACATTTATTAATGAAACCAGCAAGGATAGATCCATGTACTGACTGATAGATTACCTTGAGAGGCAACTCTACACTTTACTTGAGAGGCAACTGTCACTTTACTTGAGAGGCAACTGACACTTTACTTGAGAATTAACTCACTTTACTTGAGAGGCAACTCTACATTTTACTTGAGATGCAACTGACACTTTACTTGAGAATTAACTCACTTTACTTGAGAGGCAACTCTACACTTCACTTGAGAGGCAACTCACACTTCACTTGACACTTAACTCACACTTCACATGAGAGGCAACTCACACTTCACATGAGACTTAACTCACACTTCACTTGAGAGGCAACTCACACTTCACATGAGACTTAACTCACACTTTACTTGAGAGGCAACTCACACTTTACTTGAGACTTAACTCACACTTTACTTGAGAGGCAACTCTACACTTTACTTGAGAGGCAACTCACTTTACTTGAGACTTAACTCACACTTTACTTGAGAGGCAACTCACACTTTACTTGAGAGTTAACTCACACTTTACTTGAGAGGCAACTCACACTTCACTTGACACTTAACTCACACTTCACATGAGAGGCAACTCACACTTCACATGAGACTTAACTCACACTTCACTTGAGAGGCAACTCACACTTCACATGAGACTTAACTCACACTTTACTTGAGAGGCAACTCACACTTTACTTGAGACTTAACTCACACTTTACTTGAGGAGGCAACTCACTTTACTTGAGACTTAACTCACACTTTACTTGAGATTTAACCCACACTTTACTTGAGAGGCAACTCACACTTTACTTGAGACTTAACTCACACCTTACTTGAGAGGCAACTCTACACTTTACTTGAGAGGCAACACTACACTTTACTTGAGAGGCAACTCTACACTTTACTTGAGAGGCAACTGACACTTTACTTGAGAGTTAACTCACACTTTACTTGAGAGGCAACTCTACATTTTACTTGAGATGCAACTGACACTTTACTTGAGAATTAACTCACACTTTACTTGAGAGGCAACTCACACTTCACTTGAGAGGCAACTCACACTTCACACTACTTGAGAGGCAACTCACACTTTACTTGAGACTTAACTCACACTTTACTTGAGAGGCAACTCTACACTTTACTTGAGAGGCAACTCACACTTTACTTGAGATTTAACTCACACTTTACTTGAGAGGCAACTCACACTTTACTTGAGAGGCAACTCACACTTTACTTGAGATTTAACTCACACTTTACTTGAGAGGCAACTCTACGCTTTACTTGAGAGGCAACTCTACACTTTACTTGAAAGGAAACTCACACTTTACTTGAGAGGCAACTCACACTTCACTTGAGACTTAACTTCACTTGAAAGGCAACTCACACTTCACTTGAGACTTAACTCACACTTAACTTGAGAGGCAACTCACACTTCACGTGAGAGGCAACTGAGACTTTACTTAGACTTAACACACACTTTACTTGAGAGGCAACTCACACTTTACATGAGAGGCAACTCTACACTTTACTTGAGACTTAACTCACACTTTACTTGAGAGGCAACTCTACACTTTACTTTTGAGAGTTAACTCACACTTTACTTGAGAGGCAACTCACACTTTTCTTGAGAGATAACTCTCACTTCACATGACAGGCAACTCTACACTTCTTGAGAAGCAACTCACACTTTACTTGAGAGTTAACTCACACTTTACTTGAGAGTTAACTCACACTTTACTTAAGAGTGAACTCTACACTTTACTTGAGAGTGAACTCTCACTTCACATGAGAGGCAACTCTACACTTTACTTGAGAGTGAACTTTCACTTCACATGAGAGGCAACTCTACACTTGACTTGAGAGTTAACTCACACTTTACTTGAGAGGCAACTCTACACTTGACTTGAGAGGCAACTATACACTTTACTTGAGAGGCAACTCTACACTTTACTTGAGAGTTAACTCACACTTTACATGAGAGGCAACTCTACACTTGACTTGAGAGGCAACTCACACTTTACTTGAGAGGCATATAGTGAAATCAAGCATCATATAACAGTTAAGCATGACAGTATATGTAATAGTACTGAACAGTTTCAGATATTTTAACCTCATCTGGTTCTTCCTGTGAAGACACGTGAAGATCCGGGTTAGAATTGATCTTTAGTAACCCATGCTTGTCGGAAGAGGCAACTCACAGGATCAGGTGATCAGGCTCGCTGACTTGGTTAACACATGTTATCGTATCCCAATTGCATAGATCAATGCTCATGCTGTTGCTCACTGGATTGCCTGGTCCAGACTCGATTATTTACAGACTGACACCATATAACTGAAATATTGCCGAGTGCAGCGTGAAACTAAACTCACTCACCCTTACTATTAAAAAATATACAAATGTGTGAAACATCCACCAACATGATGAATGATTATATAATGCCTCTTTGAAAGCATGATAAAGTTGTTATCATTCATGGATATAAAATAATATTCCAGGAAATATGATGACATGCAATCACCAAGCCAATGAGATTATTAGTCTCCTCTTACATATTGATGTGTAATCAATAATAGGCTGATAAAGATTAATAAATGACATAAACCAATGGATTTGGGTTAGTAGACAGGTTGGTGAGTGAGTGAGTAACATTTGTAGCTGCATGAGAAATATTTCCACAATCCATGATGATATTTGGTTATTCAAACTTTGAGCACCCTCCTTGGTGAGAATTAAGAATAATATCAACATATGGTACATGAAAAGCATGACTACTTGAAATTGCCTAAATCTAAAGGATTTGAAGTCACTTAACACGAAACCTTTCTTGCAGTATTATCACTTTCATAATTATTACAAATGACATTTGAATTGAAAGGAGTATCTCATAATTAAGGGATCAGTGTCAGGTTTAACAGTACATTTAATGACAGAACACAGAGTAGATAGTTTTATCTTTGCAAGATATAGACCATAGTCCATGCTTTATGTATACCCCAAATGCTGGAAAATAATACCTCCTCCAAATCAATGTAACAGAATAAAATAGTCATGCAAACATGCATGTGTATGAACTGAGGGAGACATAGGTACTGAATTCCTCCCAAACTGAACATTATCAAGATCGTAAACCAACTTTAATATGAAAAGCACACCTCTGCTTAATCAAGCATATGACATCCTCAGGTGATTGTGAATTACTTACAGATGATACAAAGAGCAGGTGTGAAACACTAAACGAGCCCATAAGATAGATAAAAATACCTGTAATCAATACCTATATCAAAGACCATACGCACAAAAATGATACTATTATTTCAAGTTACAACTGGAGTAACACCAATAGAATAATTAATGAAGATATGAACATTAAAATGCTACTGGAATTATTAACATCTGATTTATTCTAAGCATGGAATATGTGTGACAGCTGGTTTCACCAACTGAGCTACAGGTAGCGTATACAAGTGACTATTCAACAATCCGGTCAGTGTCCAGTTTATAAACACTTCATACTAGAGGATGATATGCCTCGGTGGCTTCACCTCAGGTGCATAGTCCCAGCAATGGATCCTTTATTGGCCTCCGTGTAAGCCCAGTCAAGTGTTTGATGAAGTCCTGGCACCCTCACCTGGAGTACTGGACGCCTAGCTCCGCTGGTTGACGTGAGTTATCTACCTGTTTCACGCAGACAGCTGAAGGCGGCCCTTACTCACAGCGGGCTAGCTTCACAACACTTTTATCTACATGGGGAAACTTTGTAGGGATTGAAGCTATATACGCTAACGACCAGCAGACTCCTCCTTACACCATCCTGGGAATACGAGGATTTATCTCATGACGAGACGGATGTAATTACTTTTGCAAGATACTCTTTGCTAGAGAGAGTCGATATGTATGTACTGGTCTCGATTTCTTATCCAAACAGTGATTAGTTCTGCGAATAAACCTTTAGGAAGGCATAATTTGAGTGGAGTGTGTAGTTTCAGCATTAAGATCGTATTGCTTTGATGGCTGAAATGTGAATGTCTGCATTGTGGTCACGACTCACATGTTCACCCCGCTCTGACAATGAAGAGGAACCCATGAATAGATGTGTTGATTAGAATTTGGATTCCAGTGAATGTGAACTCTGTGAATTCTTTTATGGATTATCTGTGGATTTAACATGTGTTTAAATCTTAGAGGAACAACTTAGAGGAACAATATCAATTCTAGTGCTGGCTTCTATACCAATCTGCACCATAAACTGAACTTTTCCACGTTAGCAAGACTGCTGACTTTTTCAGGGACAGCACCTTTCCTGAATGGATTATTTTCTATCACTGGTGAAATAGTGAGTTCTGAACATCAATTCAAACTGAATTATAAACATCCCCCAAAACAAGCAAGAACAGAATTATATACAATGCCTTGGTAAACAGAATTGTTAATTGGGGAAACAAAAGCTATCAGTGTACAATAGCTTGAAGGAAGTACAGTGTCGTCAGTGTGCAGTTTGTCATGCCAGTTGATTGCTCCGCAGCGCACGCTTTCCCACGCTCTCTGGTCTCTTCTACTTGCCAGCGAGGTAAGTAGAAATTACGACAAGCACTGCCAAGGGGCACCTATGTAAAGAAGTCAACAGGCAGTGGACAGGTAGCCAAACATAGGCTGTAAATCTCTTTCATATCACTTATCACTGCTTATCAAAAGTGTATTTATCAACGTTTTACCTGAGAAGGCTGTTGGGAAAGCGAGACTTCAGAGCCCTATAGGTTTTATTTAGTATGCACACAGTCTTGAGAGCAGAAATCATGACCAGTACAAAGAACAGGGGTTACGATTAATGAGATGTTGTGTCGTGGAAATGAAACATGGTACGGAGGAAGAAGACACCGGTGTAGCTTACAGGATAAGGGCAGAAGGAAATAGGAGACACATAAGTAAATATACTCCCAAAAACACCTTGTGGGCTGACGAGGCCTATGCTTTTCCTTCAATTAGCAAATAAACAGTCTGGAGAGGGTCTACAAAATAATGAATTATGCAATGACATTAAGGGAAGGTGTAAGCATAGACACCTATGAGCTTTCTCACGCTTTGTGGGCTCTCTTCCCTCAGCTGGTTTCCCTCCGCTCCGGTAAAACCTGTTCTCAATACAAGCCTTAACACCCTTCATGTCCGCTGCTACTCACATACATCAAGTAAACCTACACTGGCATTCTGAATAGCAGCTTGAAAAAGGTATACATAATAAACACATCAGTATTCTCAATTAAACTTGAAAAGAGCATTAGGTAGTCTGGAAACTGACAATACTATGGGTTTCACCCCGATGAATTGATTCAAGCCATGGAAAACATAAAGCACTTTTTATGGCTTGAGAAAATTTCAAGAGTATGATTTCTATGCAAAAAAGGGACTTGATCATATTCGTCCTATAAAACAGAGCAATGAATCTGAATTGATGCTAAATAAATCAGTAAATGAACATTCAATAATTCAGGTTGAACCTAAACATTATGATAACTGTGTGATAACGTTCATATCAGCAGGCTTTTATACTAAGAGAAATATGTTATAGTCTGTTATACAGATTTCTTCAGCAATAATATCATGTCATTACTGTTATAAATTCTGTCATTATAGAATGCATGAATTTGTTATCTACACAATTTTACAGAGTATTTGAAGGTATCATAAAAAGGACAATTGGAAACATTTGTTTACGGGTTTTTATTGATATTTTATTGTTACATACAAGGAAATAATAAAAGAAAGAGAATAATTAGAGATAAATCAGTTTTAGTTCATTGTATTTTTTCTAAAATTATACAAAATGACAACTTTCAATAAATATGTAGCATGCAATTTATATTGTCACCAATGTATTGTAGTAAGCTCATTTATTAGATGGGGCAGTGGGTTATCCTGGTGATTAAAGTGTTCACTCATGATGCTGAAGACCCCCTAAAGACAGATGAGTACAATGTGTAATGCTTTTCTCCAGTGTAGGTCACCAAGATATTGCTGGAATACTGCTTAAAGGGACATAAACATAGTCTCATTCATTTACTTGAAGTTTGTAGTAACAATAAGGACTTTACATAAAGAATGAGGGTATAAAACAAGCACCATGTCTGAATCTAAGCTTGGAAATCCTATAAAAGGCTTATATGTTATATAGGACTTATCGTAGAATGCAATTCTTTCTCACTGGCTATCTTAGGTGTCTTAAGTTGTCAAGTCAATTGCAAATAAATACAGACAGGGGTGAAGTGGTACACAAAGTGACTTCCTTAGTCGTGAACTGAAAGATACCAGGGACAATATATACTAACACCTACGGGAAATGTGGCAGTTCATGTTGATGTAGGTATATCATATTATGCTAGAAAACATATATTACAACAGTTTGGATGCTGGTGCATTGTGCTCTTGTATGTGTACATCCTCTTGGTATCAAACCGGATATGTAGTCATCTTATAAAAGCAGTTATCATGATAACTTCCCCTGAACAGCATTTTAGCTCTCTGAAATTAGATGAATGAGTGATATTAGTTTTACGCTGCAATATTTAAGCAATATCATGATGGGATACACCAGAAATGGGCTTCACCATTGTACCCAACTGGGGAATCAAACCCGGGTCTTTGGCGAGACAAGCAAACACTTTGACCTCTAGGCCACCCCACCGCCTACTCTGATATAAGGTTGGGCTGTACTGTATAATCATAGCAAAGAATTCTTTGTATTTCTTGTATTCATTCCAATGGTTTCTTCAAATGTGAAGTACTTCTTCAGAAGTCGAATCTTCTGAAGTTCTGGTCAGTTACTGGTGAGCTAAATGCATGAAGTTGGGAAGTATCATGTTATGTGCTTATGGAGTAGAGTTGGATGTGTCATATGCTGTTCTTATGAACTCACACGTTACTTAGTACAAGGACAGGAAAAAAAACCATAAAAAATTGGGAGTGCCTTGTTCCATGGGGAGAGAACACCAACTTAAACAAACTTGACCTTCACAATTGTTTCAGCACAGATACCTCACTCACACATGGTACACTGATTCTGAGACGACCAGTCCTTGTTTCATCCCTTATACACCAGGCAGGTCAACAACAAGTACCATCTTTCAACATCCTTTTTTGTTATGTGGCCAGTGACTGAACCACCTCCCTTCTACCTCCAATGTATACTCTCTATCCATAAGGGGGTTGGGGGTTGGGGGTTGGGCTAGCCTGATGGTTAATCTGTTCGCTCGTCACGCCGAAGACCCGGGTTCGATTCCCCACATGGGTACAATGTGTGAAGCCCATTTCTGGTGTCCCTCGCCGTGATATTGCTGGAATATTGCTAAAAGCGGCGTAAAACCAAACTCAATCACTCACTCACTCTATCCATAAGACCATAGAGACAGACCCTTGACAGCAGCCAGGGATGGTTCAAGTACCAACCACATATGCTACTCAACATTTGCTAAGAGCTACATCAATCCCTATGGAGTAGTATACTAGAATCTACCACACCTGATGAAGATGAGGCCAGTAATGCAGACATTGCTCTGATATCATCAGGATCTCAAAGCAGCCCATATGAAAGAAGACTCAGTCGGTGTTCTTATAGGTGGTATCATATTGCCCAGATACTCCTGATCAAGTATGTGGGCTTGGGAGGAAATATCTTTGGTGCAAGCTTCTGGTCTTGCAATGAAGTGATGAAAAGTTTTCAGTTCTTTGCCATTGGTGAAGGTAATCCAAATGTCTTGGCTCAATACAATCCACCTTCTGCTTTTCTCAGTGGAGCTGAATCAGATACAAAAAACAACCCTTGGAGTGAGTGAGTGAGTGAGTATGGTTTTACGCCGCTTTTAGCAATATTCCAGCAATATCACGGCGAGGGACACCAGAAATGGGCTTCACACATTGTACCCATGTGGGGAATCAAACCGGGTCTTTGGCGTGACGAGCGAACGCTTTAACCACTAGGCTACCCTAGAACCCTTGGAAGAAGCTTGGACAGCCCGGTAGACAGTCTCCATGAGTGAACGTCAAGGACACATGAATTGTTGTGACAATAAGTTAGGTCTTAGTGATTGTTGAAATTGTACAATGCACTTTGATTTTAGCAGAGATTTCTTATGGATGTTGAAAAGGTGTTGTTGCTTTTATTTACACCTAGCAGAATCTGTTTCAGCAAATAATCTAGACTGGTTATTCTCTTGCATTTTATATCACATTGATTGTGGGTTGACCGGAAGGGTAACTATGCTTGAAATACAAAAAGGGTGTCTTCATAGATACTGAGTAGGTAAACTGGTAACTTCATGCCTTTCAAATGTAACTTAACATAAAACGTTAGGGATATGCAAATCATAGCCACTAGGAAAGGGATAAAAAGTTAAAGTGTTCAAATAGCAACAATTTCAAAACTCCAGAAATTACTGTAAAGTTACATGTACAATCACACAATTTAAAGGGTTGCAATCTGGAGTGACACAGGAAATACATAACTGGAAATAGGGGTGACTGAACAATCAATGTATCTTTTTTACAGAAAGCAAGGATTTACGAACCATTTATCAACAAATGATCTGAAAATGTTACCACTGGGCCCCGTTCCTCAAAGCGATCGTAGCGCAAAGTTGATCGTAACTCCCATACCATAACATAGACTTACGACTGTTGTTGCGCTACGATCACTTTGAGGAACGGGGCCATGGACAACTACTGAACTAAGCTATGGAACTTCCAGTTGTGAATTCATTTTCTCGATGCTTAAACACCAACAAATTCATGCATTACATGTTAATGACTATTACACTCCATAAACCAACAGTTGGAGGCAATTAGCACAGGCAGCAACTGCACATGAACACCTGCAACGTCTATGTTGGCAAGTCTATCCTATTATTTTTAACAGTGTGAAAATCATTATTTAGTACTGTTGGTATACCTGGGAAGGGTAGACTTGAAAAGAGGTTTGGAAAAAATGTCTTTCATCTATGGCTCATTTCAAGCATATTAGCCTGTAATTTTCATTTTAAATTAACACCTCTTCAGAAGTCTATTTCGCAGTATAGCTTTCTTTAGGTTCAGCTAATTCATCTACATTAACCTAGTACAAGGTACCACCATTTTCAACAATACTCATAGTGTTTTAACAGAAAGGTTTCTGCAAGTAGCTCAATCATTTTTAAGTCTATCAATTGTGTCTTAAACCAAAAATAATTATGATGATGATTTCTTTCCCTTCAGACCGCTTTCCTGTAGACTATCTAACACTGAATGCTATGCTCATTTTCGTAACTGTAGATGAAAACACATTTTGATGATTGGGATTTTTTTACTTACTTCTTTGTACTTCATACAGCTCAGATCGAATGGTAAGACTCCTAATTATGATGAAATAATTATTTTGATATTTACTCTCGAAACAGTCAAAACTATGTACTCTCGAAACAGTCAAAACTCAATACAATCAAGGTCTTAATTCAAACTGAACATATCTACTGCAGCACTACATCCTAATCTGTTGAACAACCATGATTATTGTTACTTAAAATGAATCAATTTGCAGTATTTCTATAATATACAATAAACATAAGGGGTCAACCATTTCATATTCTTTGGGTGGGAGTCGAGAGTTTCATCTCAGAAAGATATATACTTAAATACTATGAAAATACATATTCAGTGTATCTTAATATTTGGCAAAATAGCCACAAAACAAGTATTTCTGGGTATAGGCATGAGATATTGAAACACAGCTATATATGGGTACGAATCTCATTTTGAGATGGACTTGAGATGGAATTCAGTACAAATGTTCATCTTTTCTGATTTTGATTAGAAGTTAATTGTGTGTTTTCAATGTGATGGAGAACAAGTCTTATTGATTGACAACTTTTTTATTGCAAATAATGTTGGTGTAGCTGCTGACACTGTAATCAACCAAACGTGTATTTCTTAGTCACAACAGCTTCTTATGCCAGGTGTTTCAATATATGATATATCAATACCTAGAAGTGTATCATATACAGTACTGAGAATGGCATATTCACTTAGCCTTTAGGTAACATTAGATTCAAAATCTGCAGCTGAAAGAGATGCTCACAAACAGTTTAGACTTCCATTCTAATGCTGGCGGTGGTGGAATAGTCGAGTGGTTAAAGCTTTGCTCATCATGCTGAAAAACCAGTGTTGATTCCTTACATGGGTACAGTGTGTGAAGCCCATATCTGGCGTCCCCCATCTTGACACTGCTGGAATATTGCTAAAAGTGGCGTAAAACCAAACTCTCTCACATCATTTTTATAGAGCAGCACAGTTTATCACTGACTTCACAACTGCAGACTTGAAATAACTGATCATATTGATTTCAGTCATATCATGACATAGTTTCCTCAATCAAACTACCCGCCACACATCAATACACATGCATATATATTTCATTGTCCTCAAACTCAATATTAATACATGTAATTACATGACTATTTAATGTGTTCTGCATGTATAAAAAGGGCCATTTCTCACAATAGAATGCTGCTTAGATTCAAAACCCTCGAACAACATTCGACTGAACATATAATATGTCAAGGATTTTCATACTGTCTAATGCAATGCGACCACAGTGAGAAAAGGCTATATATACTTGAGTTGTGCAGCAATTTATACATAAAAAATGCCTTTTCTATTTAGTAAGATCATATACTGGTCAACTTTTAACAGGGATAATCAATAGTAATAGTATAATGATATTGCAATGGAGCCTTGTATCATGATTCATTCTAACCCGGACCTTCACGGGTCCTGATGTATGGAACCTCATCTGGTTTAGGGAGCATCAGTTGCATGATAGACTGGTTCCTTGTCCCACAATTATCCAGTTTGGATCACTGAGTGATAACTTAAAGATTTTTATCAACATTGAAACCAAATTTACTTATTCCTGTATTCAACCTCTACATCCTCAAGTTCGTTTATGTGTAATGCTGAAAGCGTATATGCTTAATACCTCAACAGTTCCCAATATTTCACTAAGTGTTTCAAAACAATAGTTGAACATCTATCTAGTGAAAAATCTGACACTGTCACAACTCTTGTGTTTTTGGTGAAAGATCAGAGTTAATTGTTGGTGAAAGAAATTAACAGCTTGCTGCTCAAACTCGTTTTCCTTTTATATGCTGTTCTTACATAACATGAATGCACAGGTATTAGGAATGTTAAATGAGAAAAATGTTTCTCAAACAGATTGCAACTTAAAGAGGTAATTACAACAATCACTTAGAAATTAATCATGCTATATGCCATGTTAGACGCTTTGAAACTAAAGCCTTACACAAATATTTAGTGAATCATCACTGTGCAAGCTCACCTTCATATGATTACAGGAAATTTCTCAAGCAGATTCTTTTAACAAAATAGTCTGGCTTTCAACTTAAGGAATCCCCATTAGAATCTTGTCATGGGATATCAGACGAAGACTGGGGAATCTCGGACATTCCATCACTGCATATTACCTCAGGGTAGAATGTTCCTACATGAGTGGGACTTGAGTGGGACTGTCACGCTTCAAAGCATCCTCGTTCTGGAGGGGACACGTTTTGACGGACAACACCCCTGGAAGGGTGCGACATGACAACGATGAAAGGATAAAGACAGATTGACCTTACAAAATCCCTTGTTAGTCGTGGCAAGTCCATCTACCATCGTCAGTATGCAATTTGTATCTGTGACAGGTGTCTAGGTGAGCATGGCAGGGATGGGAGTGGGGTTGCTTCCTTGCTGAGTCAAAGACGAAGATGCAGTCATGCCTGGTCTTGATCTGCTCGCTCATCCTCTGAATTAAATTCTTTGATGATGTAACCGTCACATTTAAAAACTTGTTTTAGTGGTTTCCACTGATGCTTACTCCGCATGCTTACATGTCCTTTTCATGTTCTGGAAACCATTCATGTACATAAATAAATTAAGGAGGCATGCTTCAGGAATTTCTTCCTTTTAGATTTTTTATTCAAACAAGGCGATATTTGTAACAAGTCGTGATCATTCATAGATAAAGCACAGTCGTGCAAAAGGTTCATCACTTTTAATCCTGTGAAGATGCTTCAGTTGAAAAAAGGTGAAGATAAAATCCTCTGATTTTGAGTTGTAGATGTTTTTGCCACAGTTTACTCTTCACTGAATCTGTTTTGGCAGATAACAGAGACTGAATATTCTCAGATGTTCATATTTATTCTGAGTTGAGATGCCATAGACCCCTAGTTCCTCAATGTATGACCAATTTGATATTTCTGATTTTGAAACTCCCAAGTTTTAATGAACAATGTTGGAATTAAGGTACAGAGCAACCATTATCTGGATGGTATGGACAACATCTTTCACCATGTTATTCTGGCTGGAGAGTGGTTCAGTGATGATGTAGGTCAAGCACCTCCATGGGCTTTCAACAGGTGCTTGTGCCACTGTAGATGGCAGTAACTAGTGGTACACTACAGCAGCAAGATGGTATCTGTCTGCAACATAAAATGCTGTATATTTTGCCTTTGTCTACATATTTACAAAGTCAGCCAGAAAAAGCAGAAAGGTAAACAGTCTTTTTTGGGAGTACATGTTCTGATCACCATGGTGTGAGCAAAGATTTTCCACCTACTTTTATACAGGTCTTTCTTCTACTGCAATAGTGCTTCTCTTTCAATACCTCCTATAGCATCACTTCTACTGCAATAGTGCTTCTCCTTCAATACCTCCTATAGCATCACTTCTACTGCAATAGTGCTTCTCCTTCAATACCTCCTATAGCATCACTTCTTCTGCAATAGTGCTTCTCTTTCAATACCTCCTATAGCATCACTTCTACTGCAATAGTGCTTCTCCTTCAATACCTCCTATAGCATCACTTCTACTGCAATAGTGCTTCTCTTTCAATACCTCCTATAGCATCACTTCTACTGCAATAGTGCTTCTCTTTCAATACCTCCTATAGCATCACTTCTACTGCAATAGTGCTTCTCTTTCAATACCTCCTATAGCATCACTTCTTCTGCAATAGTGCTTCTCCTTCAATACCTCCTATAGCATCACTTCTACTGCAATAGTGCTTCTCTTTCAATACCTCCTATAGCATCACTTCTACTGTAATTGTGCTTCTCCTTCAATACCTCCTATAGCATCACTTCTACTGCAATAGTGCTTCTCCTTCAATACCTCCTATAGCATCACTTCTACTGCAATAGTGCTTCTCTTTCAATACCTCCTATAGCATCACTTCTACTGCAATAGTGCTTCTCCTTCAATACCTCCTATAGCATCACTTCTACTGTAATTGTGCTTCTCCTTCAATACCTCCTATAGCATCACTTCTACTGCAATAGTGCTTCTCCTTCAATACCTCCTATAGCATCACTTCTACTGTAATTGTGCTTCTCTTTCAATACCTCCTATAGCATCACTTCTACTGTAATTGTGCTTCTCCTTCAATACCTCCTATAGCATCACTTCTTCTGCAATAGTGCTTCTCCTTCAATACCTCCTATAGCATCACTTCTTCTGCAATAGTACTTCTCTTTCAATACCTCCTATAGCATCACTTCTACTGCAATAGTGCTTCTCTTTCAATACCTCCTATAGCATCACTTCTTCTGCAATAGTGCTTCTCCTTCAATACCTCCTATAGCATCACTTCTTCTGCAATAGTGCTTCTCCTTCATTACCTCCTATAGCATCACTTCTACTGCAATAATGCTTATCCTTCAATACCTCCTATAGCATCACTTCTACTGCAATAGTACTTCTCCTTCAATACCTCCTATAGAATCACTTCTACTGCAATAGTGCTTCTCCTTCAATACCTCCTATAGCATCACTTCTACTGCAATAGTGCTTCTCCTTCAATACCTCCTATAGCATCACTTCTTCTGCAATAGTGCTTCTCCTTCAATACCTCCTATAGCATCACTTCTTCTGCAATAGTACTTCTCTTTCAATACCTCCTATAGCATCACTTCTTCTGCAATAGTGCTTCTCCTTCAATACCTCCTATAGCATCACTTCTACTGCAATAGTGCTTCTCCTTCAATACCTCCTATAGCATCACTTCTTCTGCAATAGTGCTTCTCCTTCATTACCTCCTATAGCATCACTTCTACTGCAATAGTGCTTCTCCTTCAATACCTCCTATAGCATCACTTCTTCTGCAATAGTGCTTCTCTTTCAATACCTCCTATAGCATCACTTCTTCTGCAATAGTGCTTCTCCTTCAATACCTCCTATAGCATCACTTCTACTGCAATAGTGCTTCTCCTTCAATACCTCCTATAGCATCACTTCTACTGCAATAGTGCTTCTCCTTCAATACCTCCTATAGCATCACTTCTAGCATCACTTGTACCTCCTATAGCATCACTTCTACTGCAAAAGTGCTTCTCCTTCAATACCTCCTATAGCATCACTTCTACTGCAATAGTGCTTCTCCTTCAATACCTCACATAGCATTACACTGTCTACCATAATGAGCTGGTTGGAGTGAGTGAGTAAGTTTAGTTTTACGTCGCTTTTAGCAATATTCCCACAATATCATGGCAGGGGAAATGGGCTTCACACATTGTACCCATGTAAGGAGTCAAACCCGGATATTCGGCCTGATGAGCGAACGCTTTAACCACTAGGCTACCCCACCACCCTTGCCCCTGAGCTGGTTGGAAGTCTGTAGCATTGGATCATAAGAAATCACAGCAATAAATATGAGGGGAAGAAAGGTTAAAAGAGAATATTAAACTGGCATATTTACAGGTTACACTGATTTGTGATATTAAACCACAGCCTTGATGATTAGCAAGGATATGTTTTACAGTCCAAGTCATTATAATAAATGTTGTAGTATTTCTTCATCAACAGATTTCAATGTCTGTCCCTCTGGCAATATGAACATATATGTCTTTCTCCCCACACAAGGGGTATAATGCAGGAGGTGCTTACTCATTCTGAAAACTCTGGTCTTCTTTGATTAGGGGTGGGTATTGCAGAGAATTTACATATTGCGATATATTGCGATGCGAAAGCATATATTTTGATATGTATTGCAATATATTGCAAGAAGTATTTTTGACAAAAAAACTACTACTTATAATCGAGTTAATGCTTCATTTATAGAGCAACAAAATCACTATGCTTGATTAAGCTTTAATAAAAACTTTTAATCCTGACAAAATAAAAATGTTAATATTATTTGGCACAAATGAAACAAGGAAATATCCGAGGACTTCCGAGTGTTACGAAGTTTTCCGAATGCAAGTCAAAATACCGGTTTTCGATCAGCGTATTGAAATACGTATCGTTTTCAGGTCTGAACCGGTAAATAGCGGTAAACCGGTTATATTGTGCAGCCCTACTATTCATGTAATTTTCATCACTATGTTGCCGTTTATACCCTATATAGAAACGGGTGCAGCAGTTAGACATACTGATCAATCACTGTAGTTGATATTTTGAATTCTAAACCTAACATTTTTGCTACGCATTCCAACTTGTATGCATTCTATCATGATTCAGTTTCTCACTTTGAAACTTAACCTTTGCTTTAACCATAAGAGTAACAATGCTCCTGTTGGTGAGCATATAACCTTCAAGGCTGCGGCTGCTATGGAAGACTTGTTTATCCATGTATCTTGTATTGGCACTCTAGTCAGACTCCCCATGGAGTCAATCAAGATCACTGGCTCTTGCTTCTGCTCTGCCTCTACCAATTCCATAAACATTTGTTTCTCCAACACCTTTGGCTTGCATATCCAAGTGATACCAATATGCCTAATGTGAAGCGATAATGAAGACCTGAAAGGATAATGTTGTCCATAGTGGCAGGGCTTATCATGGACCAGGAACTGATACTCTTTTATGTATCAGAGCCTACGTTGCTGATGTTTTGCCCACTGGTGGCTATTTTTGTGTTGTTTTTCAATGTTTGATTGGACTGTATATCTAGAATGGTTGTAAACTGAAGAAGTTTTAAAGTCAGACATTGGTCTTGTGATGGTTGCTTACTACAAGTTGTCTGTGGCTGCGGAAACATTCCCAGGTCTGTTTCATTTGTTTTGGGTAGGTGGGTGGTCAAACAAGTGGGCAAGTGATGGAGGAAGGTAGAGGACTCGACAAATATAGTCTGTCTCACAGTCCTTGAACCACATTATTTTCCCTACAGCCTAGCCTTCCCTGTAGTGCTAAAGCCCTAAACGAAGCAAGTCTAGATTTCCCCAGAATCTCTGGTCTCCCTAGGGCTCCTTTTCAATTTAAATGGGCTTGTTTGTTACTATCAAAATTATATATATTCAGAGACTAAGCCTTAGTCTACGACAAATATAGCACAGTGGGCTGTGACAAAGACATAGTGGTGGCTCATGACATGAACCATGATGTCTTGTAGAATGTCACACAAATCCCCAGTTTGTTTAGCATTTAACGAATAATGAGGAACTGGTGGCATATATATCATAAAACCTACATAGCACAAAGAAAACTTATCGAAATGACTATTTTGAATACAACTGTCATACAATGATACTTGAAAGCGCTGCATGTAATGACTGCAAGCCAACCTGGCCTTGTTTCATCACCTCAATGCTGGTGCCAGGCAGGTTGACAAGTATCAGCTCTTAATGTCACTTGGTATGATGCATTTCAGGAATGAACCCCCACCCTTCTCTCTTCCAGGCAGATGCTCTGTCCACTAAACCACTGCAACCACACAGTGCAGGCAGTATCTTTACATACTGAATATAGGATTTTATCCTGGAAAACAGGAATCCCCTAAGTTGTAAATTCAGCTATGATAGAAAGTTTGTCAGAAACTTCTATCATGCATACTAATAATGAATAATTTGAAATATATTTATAGTCCAGTCACATGACAGCTGAACTGGCTGAATACTACACAGTAATGGAGTAAGGCTGAGAATATTACGTCTAATGATTTCATTAGAGGCATGTGCTCCTGAAACACATCTTGCTTACAGTGATAGAAGGGAGATCACAGAATGGGAAGGAAAAAATGGCAGACAAGCATAAGGGAGGACTAATCCTTGAGAATCTGCAACTACATCTGAGGGCAATGCTGGGCTGCAAATTCGGCTGTTTGTACAGTAAACAGGGTACCAAAATAATTGTTCTGACTGAAGCAAGACTGTAATCTGACCTGTAACAAACCTAGGTAGTGTATTACCTCCACCACAGATGCATAGAGGGACTCTGTTTAGAGGATGGATATTAAGGATAGTACACCATGTAATGCGACTCCGAAATATGCATGGTGGGGCCTGTTCTGTGTGGAAGGAAAAGGGTGACATATCCTGTTGCTGGTATGATTGTTAAGACATAGATACAAGGATGCATGCTTTAGGAAACCTTGACACAGGTAACCTTTAATCTTCTAAAAACAGTCCTTAATTACTTGTTTTCAACTGTATCAATTTTAGTTTGAAAAAATATACCACATCCAAAATATACGTTCATGGACGCGTGTGTG